CTTCAGTACTTTGGAGAGGTCCCTAACAGCAGACTTTCCCATGGCAATGCACCTTTTAATTTCCTGGCTACTGGTGCCAAGAGTGTTGACTGTGGCCTGCCTTACTAGTGTTCTGAAATTCAATCATATGTATATATTCCTTTTGATGTTATCCCACATGATTCCAGTGTTTTCTTAATTTTCTTTCTGTCTCCTCTCTGGGTTTGCTTCTAGTACATTCTGTTCCCATTGAGGTTCTTGTAGTTTGCTGACTCTCTGTTCTTTCTTTTCTGTTCTGCTTTTTTAAATCCCTCCAGCATGTTGAAAAATTCTGCCATTTAAATCTTGATATTCTGGATTGTATTTTCATGCATACCTGTTATTTCCAGTACTGTGTTAGTTGTAACTTCTCTGTCTTGTGAACATTTAAAAAAAAATCTTGTAACTCTCTGTGGTTTCAATTCTGTCTTCCATCATTTATATTTCTTCAGCTGTTGGTCATGCACCCCACATCAATGTATTTTTTTTCTGCCTGTCTTTGAGGTATTCTTTGTGTCTGTAATATGATCTGCTTTTTTCAGGAGTAGGCTTCTTTTGTTTTTCTTGTTTGAAGCTGTCTGCTGCTCTCTTGACATTATGTGAAATTCTGCCTGGTGTATGTAGGCTGTTTCTGTGCAGATATTTGACAGTTCTTTATCATCATGCTATTGATAAGTTTCAGACATAAAGAGTTTCCTTTATGGGGGAACACAACTTGCTTTACCTAAAGTTTCCCTGGCTGAGACACTTCCTCTCCAGGGAAAGGGAAGCCAACTCCCGATACAGATAGATGTTCTTTCTGCTCCTGTGAAGGCTGCTGGGAACCTTACTGGCTGTGACCCACCTGTCCTGAAGTCTATTAATGCCCTTTGTGGCCTGTGGGATGGCTGGCAACCAAGTTTCCCTCACTGAGGCACCCCTTCTCCAGCAAAGGGGAGGACAATTTCTGGTACCTCTTTCTCTTCCTTCATGGACTGGCCAAGACCTTGTATTTTGTTGGCCTTTTAAGGGATATGTTCAAAGCCTTGCTTGAGAAGAGGGGTGGTAACCAACCCCAAAACTAACAACAACAAATCCCTAACCTCATATGCTTATAGATTACACGCTGAGTTTAAAGCTATTATTTAAATTGAGACCTTCCACATAATGGAAAGGGAGAATAAAGATTGCTATAGAGTTTGAATTGTGATAATCAGAGGAGGAACTGGAGGAAGGGAAAACATCCAATATGCTGTCAACCTAGGCCCACTTCTCGATGAATGCTTCTATTCTCTTTTTCTGAAACCTTTCCAGAGATTATAGAACAAAACAGTAGCACAGACTAATTTTGTAGCACTTTATTTTTCCTAGCTAGACTGCAAAAAAATCTTGAAGAAAGGCTTTATCATTTAGTTCACCATATGTTGCCTGTCTTTTTAGGTCCTAGGAGTTGTTCCATCTTAGAACACATTGTTTAATTGCAAAGGAATGACTATTTTTAAAAAATTTTATAATTCTAACAGTTAGTTTAAGAAGTTTCATTTTAGGGTATTTTATTATTCAGTGCTCTTTTCACATTCTTGCACGTCTTCCAGATCAATGTTCTGTGCTAATCTGGGTGGCTGCATGTTTCTTGGGGCAGACAGTTCTGGCCACTGGGGCACAGAGCTCTGCTATAATATCGAGAGTTAAAACTCTTTCTAAAAAATTCCTTTAGAAGGTTGATGCCATTTCATTCTCTTCTCTTAAAAATCCTAATCAGTTCTATAGTGTGAAAGTCTTTGTTTTGGTGTGGATGTTGTACCCAAGCCTGCCCTTTATTGTTTTGTTGTATTTGTTTTTTTTTTAAAGTAATGACATGAATTGATGGTTTTAAAATTTGCTAGTGGTAAGGCACTGCACAGCAAACCTAAAGGCATGTGATCTGAATTCACCAGCTGTTCCAAGGGAAAAAAGGTGAGCAATCTCTTCTTGTACAATGTACTGCCTCTGAAAACCAGCTGCAGGGTCAGCTATGGACTGTTTCTGACACAACGGTGTAAAACAACTCAGAATTTAAGCTATTCAGTTGAAGCTTAAACACACTAGATTTCCTGAAGACTAAAATGATACTGAAGTAGGTTTTGTTGATTGAGTTATATTCAGTCTGGATACAGAATAAAACTCACAGTGCCTTTCTCTCTGCCTGAGGGAGACAAACACAAAAATATTTCTCCCATTCTGCTGTTTTGTATCATTTCAGTTCCCTCTAATAAAGACCCAGGGAAGAAAGAAATTGATTAGTTCAAAATGCTAAAACAAGAAAAATCAATCCAGTGGAGCCATGGCAACCCCTGTTGCGTCAAGCAGGACCAGGCTCTGTAAGAGTTTCAGTGGTTGATATTTTGGAAGGAGACCGTCCGGCATTTTCTTCTGAGGCTCCTCAAAGGAGAACCTGAATCTCCACTCTTTGGCTGGTAGCCATGAACTTAACTACTTACACCACCCAAAGTACTATCTAGCGGGCAAACTGTGGGTGAAAATAAGCCGTCTTGCAGAAGACATTATGGCTGTAAATCTGACACGAGCTTGACAACCTTTTCTATCTCAACTGAGCTCACTCTACTTTGAAAATACTATTAAAAAGTCACATGAAAATGGGCAATCTGGCCCTTGTGAGTTCAGCTGAGAGGGTAAAGATCCCTAAGTGGAGAACTAGAGAATGAAGACACTCAGACAGCCCTGTTGCTAAGAAGAGGGGACTGGTTTACGTTAGAATACTGCCACAGAGCTCAGCAAGTTTGTGCATTTTTTATTTTTTTAGGCTGATCTTTAAAGAATAAAAATCCTTTACAAATTAAGTCTACTCAGTTGCCAATAGCCTGAAATGATATTTTTATTTTTCTTGCTGACGTGATTCCCTTACCCCGCCCCCATTTCCCCAACTGGTAGAAAGGTCCAGTTTCTCTATTATGAATTCTTTCACTTGATCCTTTGACAAAACAGGTATTTTCCCTCATGCCCCTGCCACCCTAGTAAAAAGCAGGAGAAAAATAACACAGATTAAAACAGAATTGTATTAATGAATGAACACATTCACTTTTGTGTTATCTGGTACATTTCCTTCTTGTGAGGATACAGAGACAGGCAGGCCCCCAGACACTCCAAATTGTGCTGGGAGTGCTCACTGCTCTGTGCGGGATCCTGTGCTGAGGGCCTCCCCACGGGGGCTGCGGCCTCCCTCAGGGCCTGTGGCCTCCTGCAGGGGTTGCGGCCTCCCACAGGGGCTGTGGCCTGATCTGACTCAGCACCATCCATGGCTCCACCAGGCCCCAGCACAGGTCTCTAGCTGGAGGTAGAGGTGCTGCTGCTTTCCCAGGCCAGTGAGGAGCAGCTGAGTGGAGAGCATCCCTCTTCGTCTGGGCTTTACTGTGTGGTGACAAGTTTCACAATCATGCTGATGATCCGGGATCCTCGTGGACACGTACACAGATCTATGCTTGGGTTCTTGATTTTATCCTGGAGAAGCTGGTCAAGTTCACCACGGAGTTCTTTTACTAATTCAGCCACCTAAAATGAAAGCCAAAATAGATTTGGTACCCAGAACAATAAGGGAGGAAATCACAATTAAAAAAAAAAATTTAAAACCCTTCCCCAAACAGTGGTGGATATTAAGCAGACAGACTGATCCCTTTGGCTTTGAGATGCATTTTGTGTTTGTGTAGGGGAACCAGTTCTGCATTGCTTCTTGCCACATAAGCATTCTAACAGAAGAGAGTATAAAGTGAATTTTTGTATCTTCATCATATACCAAATAATCCAATCCATTTTGCTTACACTGATGCTCAAGTAGACTATGGTTGTCTTCCCACATTTGTCTGTCCCTCTGCCAGTGTGTATTAACCATGCAGTTTGGACACTGATCTAATTTCAAAGAAGTTCTTGCCAGAGTGAACTGCTCAGGTAATGCAGCTTTAGTGACTGGTCTGTGATGTTCCCTTAGCCACAGGAATTTGTTCAGAAGGGAGATCAGAGGGAGCTTTTAGGAATGTGGCTACGTCTCCTCTTCCAGGCAGAGAGATGCAGGAGCAGCTGCAGACATCTTGCCCCCACGAGGCTGTTTGGCGTAAGCTAGCCCTATCTAGTCTTGACCTGCACTGTCCAGTATGGCAGCCCACATGTGGCAACTGATGCCTGATGTGTGGCTGATCCAAATGGACATGTGCTGTGAGCATAAAAAACATGTTTTAAATACTTAGTATAAGTAGAGAATATAAATATCTCAGTAAATTTTTTATGCTGTCTACATGTTAAAAAAGAAAACATTTTTAATTGTATGAAGTTAAATAAAAGATACAAAAATTAATTTTACTGGTTTCTTTTCACTTTTTTAAAAATGTTACTACACGGCAGCTCAACGAGCAGCATTTAAGGGGTAGTATATGTGAAGAATAAATCAACACTCTTGGTACCAGAAAACTTTCAATGATCTAGGTGGCTTGCCTTGTATTTCTACTGGGGATCACTGCTCTAATCTTTGCAGGTAAACAGGCCAATAAATTACCTTTAAGATAGTGTTTCTGTTTCTTGCAACAAATGCACTTTAACAAACATAAATACAAAACTGAGTTTTTGTTTCTTCAACGTGTAGGGGCTAACCTCCAAACTCATTGCCACTGAGTCAATTCTGATTCAGAGCAGCCCTACAGGACAGAGTAAAACAGCCCTCTAGGTTAGAATTTTTATGGAAACAGAATGCCACATTTTTCTCCCACAAGGTGACTGGTGTTTTAGAACCACTGCTCTTAGAGTTAGCAGTCAAATGCTTAACCACTGTGCTACCAAGAGTCTTTTCTTCACATATGTTGTTGTTATGTGCTTGTGATTCATAGAGACCCTGTGTACAACAGCTCTTAGCCCGGATCTATCTTGAGCCAACCTCATTGTCTCTGACACATCACCCCAATTACCGCAGTCACTGAGTCAACCCATCTCATTCAGGGTTTTCCTCTCTTGCCTGTCCCTCTTATCTTTCCAAGCATGATGTCCCTCTCTAAGGACTGGTCCCTCCTTGTAACATGCCCAAGGTATGTCAGAGATTCAATATCTTTGCTTCCAAGGTGCATCCTGGTTTCACCCTCTCCAGAATGAACCTGTTTGTTCTCCTAGCAGTCCATGGTATATTTAATACTCTTGTCCAGCACCACAACACAAAAGCGATCAATTCTTCTTCCACCATTCTTAGTCACTGTCCTGCTTTCTGATGCATAGCAAGTAACTGCAAAGACTATGGCCTGGATCAGGACCACTTTCCTCTTTAGCCTGACATTGTTGCTCTTCAGTACTTTGAAGAGGTCCCTGATAGCTGATTTTCCCAATGGAATTAGTATTTTAATTTCCTGGTTGCTGGTACCAAGAGTGTTGATTTATTCTTCATGTATACTTCCCCATAAATGCTGCTCAGAGAGCTGCCATGTAGTAACTAACCAAGAGCCAAGAAAGACAGGAAACTGAGCCCAGAATTCACACCCATTATCCTCTTTAATGGAGGTGGAATCAGGGTGATTTTTATGTATTCATTCCTGCTTGTCTGATTTTTCTTTGGTGAACATGTCTTATTTGTACAATGTTAACCTTACAGCTTATATCCTGAACACACTGAGCGCCCCAGGTACCCCTCCCAGCATGCTTCCCGCCAGGCCTGTGTCTTTACTTCAGTCTCACTCTTTCTCCATCTCCTACTGAAGACATATGGCTAATAAGTTCATTAGCTCTGCTGTCTTGGACACCTAATGGAACAGAGTCTCATAGACAAATGATCTCTTTACCTGATGGGAGGCAGCAGCAAATCGGATCCAGCCATCATCCAGGGAGACCACAAACTCTCCCCTCTGAAGCTGGACATTCACTTGGCCTCCTCCAAACAAGACCAGTGGGTACACAGACACCATGCTGCAGTCTCGGATGAACACCCGACTTGTTTTGATCTTCTCGTGGTATACTAGGTAGGGACTGTCGAAGTGTCTGACCTGTAACACAAAGCCTCCAGTGACAACTAGCAACAGAAGGAACAGCATGCCACTCGTCCCACAGACTTAAATACCCCTGCACATTAATGAGTCACACAACTCTATACCCAGCCTCTCCCTTTCCCAGAGTTCCAAACCTGGCTGTGCCACATCCTGACATCTCCAGTTGGAAAGCTGGTTACTACATCAAATTTCTTGAGTTCAAAAGGAATTCTTGACTGTCCCAACCACCATCCCAGAGAATGCCATTCCCACTCCACTGCTCAAGCTCTAACCTCGAGTCATCATTGATTGCTCGTTTTCCCTCATTCCATCTGTGTCATCAGAAAGTTTGACTCTACAGCCCCACCACTTTATGGCTTTCCCTCGGTATAAGGCATCTTCATCTCATGGAAGCTACTGCAATGGCTTCCTACCTGCTTACTCTGCTTCTGTTTTATTTACAGTCTATTTTCCACACTACACCCAGAGGTCTTTTAAAAACTAAATCAAATTAGGACTTCGAATCCTCCAATGGCTTCCCACAAGTCAAACAGAAAATCCTCAGTGCTGGTCCCACGGTCTCACATGCCCCAGGCCCCTGCCTGCGTGTTCTGGTGCCCTTCCCCGTGATGGCTGCCAGCCACCCACTCCACTGACGCTGGCTGCCTTCCTGCACCACACCAAATATGCTCCCACCTCAGACTGTTTCTTCTGCTGAAATGTTCTTACCTTAGATATGTGCATGGTTTGTCATCTTAAAAAACTCAACACCACTGAAATGGATTTCCACTCAGAGACATGGGGAGAGACAGGCCTGTCTTCCTCCATCGGAGCCACCAGGGGACTTTTTTGGTCAGTAGCACATGGACTGTGTCACCTCAGACCTCTGCTAACTGCCTTATTCAGAGTTCTTCCCTGACCACCCTACTAACAGGTCCTCTGCTCCTGTCACTCTCTATCCTTCCACCCTACTTCATCTTTCTTCAAAGCATCTGTCAGTAACCTGGTATTCTTTGTGTGGGTATTTCCTGCCTCTCTTCCCCACTAGACCATTAGCCCTATGAGGGCAGAGATCCTGTCTAGCTAGTCAATCTGTGGTATGTAACAATGCCCGGCACTGTGTGCTCCTGGCCTATGGGAGAAAGCTGGACTTGCTGGCAGAGTGCAGCTCCTTTGAGCATCTATTGGCAGAGCAAGAGGATCTTTGTATAAATGTCCAACATCAACTAGATAGATCATTTTGTGTAACCATCACCAATTCACCAGTATCCTATTAACAAGTTTCCATAGCTAGCAGCCCAAATTGCTTCCTAAACAATAAGCTCTGGTCTCTATACTTTTGGCTATTTTAGGTATTTCATTTGATGGCCACACATTTCCTTTTAAAGGTACAGATTCAGCAATGCACTTAGATCCTGATTTCTCACACCACCATTGTGAAGGAACAATCTGCACCTGAAAGGAGGCTTATGAGAGTCCAGTGCCCAGACAGACTTCCCAGGGTCAGGGTGCTGCTGGGGACAGCACATAACAGATGTGTGGCTGACTTTAAGGTACCGTGGGCCTGCCCCATGTAACACAGAGGCACAGGGCTAGCCTGACCTGGTAGTTCACTGATGAAGGGTGAATGTGTACATAGCCATCGTTCTTGGTGACAAATTTCAATTCTTCTGATTTTGGTTTCATTTTGACAGCTCCAACACTGCTCTTCTGAAATTTTCCATCTGGGCTTTTCACCTAAACAAAAGGAGTTTAGAAAAAGAAAAGAGATACATGTGCTTCCACCGTCAGGAGTGGCCGCCCCTTGGTCCTGGTCAGTCTTCTCTTAAGGGCTTTCCTGCTTTTCCTTCTTGTCTTTGTTTTACAAACAGTGCATGTGCACATCTTTTCTTGTTACCACCCCCAAGTGTGGATGTGGATGCAGCAGCGCTGGGAGACTGGAGAAATCACACTGCTATCTTGAACCTGCACCAATTCTCAGGCACCCTGCCCCAAGTCCTCCGACAGACAGTTTACCTGACTATTGTAAACATCAAAACCAGCACATCAATCTCACAATCCCAACCTTATTTCTTTCAAAACACAATAAAAAAATTCTATGACTAAATGATGACTTCATTTGAAAAATAATACAAGTTTCCATGCCCCTCAACAAGATGGATCAACACAGGGACTGTAACAAATGGGCTCAAGTGCGGCCGAGACGAGGAGGGCGGCCCCAGTTAGGCAGACAACTAGTCCTTTAAACACCTGCACCACAGCAGCTCACAGCCTCCTGCCTTGATCCACCCGTTCAATTAACAGATTATTCCAGCAGATTATTCTTATTGCAAAGAAAGAGCACCCTGTTTTGTATCTATCCAGCGTCTGTGAATCTGTGTTCACCAGTAAGACTGGCTGCTAGCCTATCAGAGGTGACTCATAGCAAGAAAATCTGTAATCTAGACAGGTGAGCACTTCCCTTCTTTAGAACATTAAAGGAAGCCGAACCCTCACCTAACTTGTGTAAATTCCTAAAAGGTGGAACTGTTTTGGTCTTAAGGGAAACTGTGAAGCACCCAATTCCCATTATCTTTTTTCTTTGTACGTAGCATGTCAAATGAACTACTTTTCTTGGTTTTTACAATCTGTTTTTGTTCTCCACACGTTTTTCATCTCTCTCTCTCTATCTAATGAAATAATAAGCATACACTATAAATAAAAATATACCTGAAATAGGGCCATTCTTTTTTTATAACCTACTTTTTAAACAGTATTTTTCCATATTGTTAAATATTTTCCTGAAACTTATTTCCATCAAAAGTGATAGCAATAAAGCAAGTTTTTTTCTTATTTGGACAATAATAAAAGTTATGTATTTCATTATTGTTTTAACTTGTTATTTCTTCATCCTAGTAACACAGCATATATTTTAGTGTGCAATCTACCATCTGTTCCCTCATGCCCTACGTATAAGAGTTTTTGAGCAGATATATCACCTTTTTGACTTTGGTTTAGTGTAAAAATTATTACTAAAGTTTACTACACAGAATTTGAGAAACATAGTATATAGACTGATGCCGAAGAAACCACCACATTTAAGCTGAATTCTCAAAGCAGCAAACCAGAGGAATCTGAGGATAAATTACGTCTCTAGCTCTCTTAAGTTACAGGGCATTTCCAAACCACTCATCCCACTGTGGTGTGTGACAAGTTTTTTTTTTTCTTTTTTTCTGTTTTTTACATAAAAACGAATAAAATGTTAACAGGACTTTAATCAGGATAAAATATCAATATCTGGTTTACTGCAGTGATATGTGAGCTCTGGTGACCCAGTGGTAAGAAATCCCTAAGGCACACAGTTCGAATCCGCCAGCTGCTCCATGGGAGAAGGATGGGCAGTCTCCTCGCATGTGATAAACTGCCTCTGAAAACTCAGTGGAGGGTCAGCTGTGGGCTGGTTCTGACTCAATGGTTTTCAACAACAAGAAGAAACTTTGATTATAATTGATGCTTGCATGGTTTTGGATATTAATGCTTGATTGTTAAGATTTGAATTACCTTTAGTGATTTAACTTTTGGATTGACTTTATTTGAAAATTATAAATGTAATTCCAAAAAAAGGTATTACTAAGCTAAAATTTCTTAAATCACCTTTACAGTTTTTATTTCTATATTTTAAGTCTATAATTTCCCCCAGCATTCTTTTTTCTCCCCTACATGTTTCTTTTTTTTTATGTTACAACAAAAATAAAATATTTATTTGATTATAAAAAGTAACTGTCAAAAAGCATTCTCATGGACTTGATCTTTCTGTGCCCTGCTTTTAACTCAATATTTGTATTTCAACATGATTCAGCCCAAAAAGTAAAAATAAATTATAACTTAACATGTATAGTTTTTTAAGAGGCAGCATCACTAAGAAATCCCAAAATTTGAGAGAAAGGCTTTTTTTTCTCCTCTCAATGGAATGGCATTTTCGGCATGTATGGAATGCTTCCCCTGTTGTTCACTGTTAGCAAGTTTCCCTTGTATAAAGAGAAAAGCTCCAATGTTAACAATGCATCCTCATGTGTATCTGCACAAATACACGCCAACAAAGAAGAAATGAATAGATTTGTCAAAATCCAGAGGAAACTGAGTAGAAGCTTCATGGCACTGTCTTTCTATTAGTTGGTTTAAATCTTCATTCAAAAAATGAATCTCCATGTAAAACCTTATTTCTCTTTCTGGAGGTCAAAGATTCCACAGGAGGATTAAAGGTCATTGCTGCCATGCTGTATGACTTAAAAAATTCATTAGCAGTTCTTCAACTCAACTGTTTTGAGAGCTCCTGAGCCTTCAGAAGGTGCTCCTGCGATCAAGTGGGTAGCAAAAACTTGCACTATATATATGAATAGAAATTCAAAGTCTCTGTAAACTTTCATTACAATTTCAATTAAAAAAAACCCCCAAAACAAAAAACCTTGCACTATAGGATGGTAATGTCTCTGTAGTGGATGCAACTCGCAAAGAGAAGTGTTCTGAGCATTACAGTACTCAGGTTCATCCAGCTCAGAGAGAAAGACTCCAATTCCCTGAGATTCACTGTCAAGCAGTAAAAGTTTTAGGTAAGGTATTGCTGCCCTGGACGTGCTCACCAAGTTGTGCCAAGAAATTTGGAGAACAACCACTTGGCCAACTGACTGGAAGAGATCTATATTTGTTCCCATTCCAAAGAA